TGAAAGGCTCCACAGCAGGTAGTCCGTGTTGCACCATCGCGTCCCCAATGAAAAGAGCAAGGAAGCGGGGAAAGAGTACAGCAGATAGTGGCTTTCCTACGGCTTGAAGTTTGCAATTTTTTATCACGGCCGCATGAATCTCGTTGTAGATGTGGAAGGCGTAGTCAAGATCAAGGTTGAAGAAAAGCCCATACATAATTGTCATTATGTTGAGATTTCCTTGGTCGAGTGAACCGAGCTTACAGGTGAGGGATCGGTTGAGAATGGAAAAGAACAAATTCCACATTGGCGGGAGGAATTTGTCTTTTGAAGTCTGATACATTTCGCAGTTCACTATTGTACCCTAGCATCTTCACGAACCTTAGGATGTCGTCAGAGGAAGGTGGTTCATCATATTGCTCGATCCCTAGTTTTTTTCTTGTGGGAATACACAGAACCTTAGAAACTTTTGCTCGCGATATTTTTACCGAGCAAACCATGTCATTTGGGGCGTCTATGTCTCCCATTATTCCATGACTGGGAGGATCAAACTCGCAGGTCTGCCAGTATTGTTGAACGTACTTTAAGGGTAAGTTTGGGTTCACTAGAGTTAAATCAGGGAGAAGGATACAGTTCTTGAAGAACTCAATCATTATCGCAAACCTGTCATCAAAAAGGGTGTTGCGCAGTTCAATCATGTGGTTATTGGGTTTCATGGGCAAGARGACGATTGCGCGGCTGTCGGYGCCGGTGGATTGGATGCRGCTGTCATTGTTGKTGGATTCGTCAGAAGCGGAGGAGGCCATTTTTGATGAAGTTGCAGGTCTTGAGTTCGTCGTAGTTTTGTTGTAAGTTTTGAAGGCGTAAAGAAGGTAAGAATGGTGAAGACGGGTTTTATGGGGAAGACGGTAGGGGTGGGGGTGGAGGGGTAGGGTGGTAGTGGGGTGGAGTGGTAAGGGAAACGTTTCTTTGATTATTATAATATAATAATCATGAAAATRGGTTTTATTGGATGAACGTGAGCCGTCTGGATAGGACATGCCATTAATGTAGTGGACACGTGTCAGCCTGGGGTAAGGGAAGGGAAAATAATGAAACCGCTCATGGGGGACAGCCTGTATGGTGTCAGGCGCGTGGTTTGACTGACGTCATGAGGTATTTGAAATGAAGAGTCATTCCAAATAATATCTTGGTGAAGATGTTTCCCAAAAAAAATTATTCAAAATCTCATCTAATTGTAAGATTAATACTTATTACGAAGTTTTGGTTTTCTAAAAACCCTTGTTGTATAGTTTTTAGTCACAAAAGCTGCAATTTTGTATAATCTTGAAAATGGTTTTCAATTAAGATGAGTTTTATTATAAAATGTATTTTCATGGAACCAGAGGAGCTCTGGTTATGCATGATAAAGTGGGTGTGGAACCAGAGGAGTTCTGGTTGTAATATCGATGAAGACAAGTAGTGATGTTGGATTTGCATGATGTAGAGACTTTGGTTAACCAACCAGAGACTCTGGTGAAGTTTGGCAATCCATTTTATAAAACCAGAGGATGTCTGGTATTATATTTAT